AGACACAAAGATTAGAATACAGGCCTTCTAATTCCAAGTGTTTTGTTCTTTGTTCCAAGTTGTAGGACGCTGCAGACCCCACCCTCTCCCTCTCTCACCTCCTGCAGGGACAAAAATGCCTTGAGGTAGCACAAATCCAAGCACAGATGGCTCTCAGCACCACCAGCTGAGTGACCGTGGACAAATAACTTGGCTCTCTACTCTTCATTTTCTTCTTGTATAAAATTGAGGTAATTATAACCTAGCTCCAGGGCTTAATGTAATTTAGATATGTCTTTAAAGTACTTAGCATATGCTAACTGCTTATTGAATGGTGGTTATTATTACCATTAAAATGATCCCTTTGGGTTAAGCTATTGCCATTGTGTCTAGATGTAAAGAGGTCTCTTAGCAGGTCAAGCGCATTAACCTGCAGCCACAGGTAACTTCGGAAGAAGGAACCGAGGCAGGCCAGACAGTTATGTTCCTAGAGAGAGAAGCTGGTGGGTGGCAGTGCCGGGAAGACACGTCCAAGTGGGGCTCCTCAGGTGGGGGCTGAGACGCCCAGAACACTGGGCAGGAAATTGGGGTATGGCAGCTCAGATCCCTGATGGGGGAAGTAGGGTCGCAGCAGAGATAAACCCCACTCTGTCATCTGTTTGCTGTGGGTTGGTGTTTGTTGATAGGAATCCCCAGGACATCTTCAAGTGAGTGAGGTTAAGAATCTTTTCAGTCACAGCTCAGGAAGTATGAAGTCAAGCTGGAGTGCAAACTTGTTTTGGAAGAAATAGAGATGACTAGTAAACCAAAGAAAATATTCTCACTGTCACTAGAAATGCAAGAAATGAAAATTAAATTAATTATTAGAGCATCAATAAAATATTTTTTTCAATTTAAATTCAATTAATTAACATATAGTGTATTATGAGGTTCAGAGGTAGAGGTCAGTGATTTATTAGTCTTTTATAACACCCACTGCTCATTACATCACATGCCCTCCTTAATGCCCATCACCCAGTTACCCCATCCCCCCACTCCCATCTCCTCCAGCAACCCTCAGTTTGTTCCCTATGATTAAGAGTCTCTTATGGTTTGTCTCCCTCTCTGATTTCATCTTGTTTTCTATTTCCCTCCCTTCTCCTATGATCCTCTGTTTTGTTTCTTAAATTCCACATATGAGTGAAATCATATGATAATTGTCTTTCTCTGATTGACTTATTTCACTTAGCATAATACCCTCTAGTTCCATCCACGTCCTTGCAAATGGCAAGATTTCATTTTTTTGATGGCTGAATAATATTACATTGTAGATATATACCACATCTTCTTTATCTACTCATCTGTTGATGGACATCTTGGCTCTTTCCATAGTTTTTGGCTGTTGTAGACATTGCTGCTATAAACACTGGGGTGCAGGTGCCCCTTTGGATCATTACATTTGTATCTTTGGGGTAAATACCCAGTAGTGCAATTGCTGGGTCATATGGTAGCTCTACTTTCAACTTTCTGAGGAACCTTCATACTATTTTCCAGAGTGGCTGCACTTCAGAAGGGTTTTCACCAAGAGAGGATTGTGGTCAGAATTCAAAAAAATTTGCCTCTAACTCTCTGGGTACATCAGTGTGGAAATGGTTAAGATTCAAGATTTTTATTAAAAAAATAACAGAATACCCCAAAGCGGTATTGCAGTCACTATAGACATTATGCTCAGTGCTTCTGTCATTCACTCAGGTGTGTGTGCCTCCTTCTGGACCTGTCCCCACCCACCTCATTGCTCCTCTCTGCTCACTGCATTTTCCTGTTTCTGCTGCCAAGAACACCACCAGACTCCACTGTCTTCTTCCTTCCTGAGTCCTTTTATGCTTCTTGGCTGTGTTGCACATTTAGAGCATTTCATCCATTACGCATGTTTGAGTGCTTTGCAAACCAAGGCAAAATCTCTGCACTCAAGTTGTTTACAGGCCACTGGAGTTGAATAGAACAAAGATACATGCACACGTAACACAAGATAGAATGGGAAAAATGTCACATTTTGAATATAAATTAAATACTGCAGTCTTTCAAAGAATGAGGAAGGTAGATGTAGCTGTGAATTTCTTTCTGTCCCCCATTTTACAGATGGTAAATTTGAGGCCCGCAGGGAAGAAGCAGGGATCTTTGGTACCAGGAACTGGTTTATGTATGTAAGCTCAGGCACTTCCTCTGTGTCTGCCTTGGGTAGCAGGACTCTCAGTGGACCAGGGTGCCAGTGAGCATTCTGAGGAGCTCTAGTCAAACAAGGTGCTCTGCTTTTGGTGGTCAAGTGTTTGGGAAATGTATAAACCCTCTTCTGGGATGCTCAGGGTAGCCATTCACACATTGAAGTCTCCTACAAGTTCAACAGAGGAGAAAGCTTTATTCAACCTGGAGAGGCTAGAATCTCCCCACACAACTTCTCACCCCGCAGATCCAGCCTTCCAGTCAGAAAAGTCACCAAACACTCCTGGAGAGCCTCCATCTTTGTCAGTCACTCGATGACCATTCCTCTGCTCTTAATTTGGGAAACTAAGAAGAAAGGGGAGAAAAGTCTTTGAAGGTGAGCTTTTCCCCAACTCCTTCCTCTGGCTAGCTCACTTCTAAGGTAATTATTTGTGTTTTCATTATGAATAGTCTTTACTTATCTTTTTTGATTAAGAACATTTACCTCAGCGTGTTGGTTTGTGACAACATTCTGGATCATGTGTCTGAACCCAATTGTCATTACCTGTCATATAATCCCTTCTCTGGGAACTTTCTATTTAATCTTCTTTTCTACTTAATTTTTAAATACCACAATAATGTGTTACCTTTTATTTATTTTAATACTGTTTGTTTTTAAAATAGGTCATACTGGCCCATGGTACAACATTCAAAAGTCAAAAGGGTATGAGGTGAAAAGGTGTCACCTTCAAACACTGTCCACCAGTAGCCCAGTTTATATTTGTGTGTGTGTATGTGTTTATTTTCCTTGCCTTTCTTCCCACACAAATGTACACAGATTGTTAGCATCTTGCTTTTTGCACTTAAAACTGCATCGTGTTAATAGTGCGTCATGAGTACATAGAAGGTCCTCATTTGTTTCTGTAGCTGTACGATATTGTATGTGCTGCAGTTTATTTAAAGATAACATTTAGGTTATTTCCAGCGTTTTGCTCTAGTCAGTGCTGTAGTAAATAATTTGAGAAATTGAGGACATTGGTAAAGTTAGCAGCAGCCTCCTGCCACTAAAACATATCCAGAAAGTTAGCTGATGATCTGTAAAAGCCTTTTTCATAATGTGTGACATAGCAAGGCAGCCCGTATAAATAAATCACTAATAAACTGGGGTAGGAAAAATTCAGATAATTTATACACACTGGTGAGCACACAGCATACAGGAAGCTAAAGGCAAAGGATCTAAGACCCACAAAGGGTCTGGTGGTTTTATTTCAGTGTGAGACAGAAGTGCCTTGGGGATGGTCACCAAATACTCTCAGGGGGCTCACATAGCAATGAAGTTGGTCATGTAGCATTAATATTTACTGGATTTCTCAAATTTTAAAACTAAGAATGTTAAACAATTTTTACTTTTACTTTTAACAATAAAATAATACAGCATATGGCCTTTGAGCAATGAGGGGGTTAAGGGTGCCAATCCCCAGGCAGTCGAAAATCTGCACATAACTTTTGACTCTCCCAAAACTAATAGCCTACTGTTGATCTTACCAATAACATAAACAGTCAACTGACACGTATTTTGTATGTATGCGCATTGTTGAATTGAATACATATTGTATTCTTATCATAAAGTAAGTTAGAGAAAAGAAAATGTATTGAGAAAATCGAACGGAAGAGAAAATACATACTGTATTTATAAAAAAAATCTGTGTATAAGTGTAGAAAATCTGAACAGTTCAAATTGGTGGTGTTCAAGGGTCAACTGTAATTTTAAAAGCTAACATTTATTGAGCACTTACCATATTCAGACACTATGCTAAGCACTTTATAGGTATTACTTTATTTAATCCATTAACATCCCATGAGATGGGTGCTATTCTTATCCCTATTTTAGAGATGAGGAAACTGAGGCTCAAGGACGTAAGGAGCTCAGCCAAGGTCACACAGCCAGTGAGAAATGGAGCCAGGTTTCTGTATCCAGAGCTTTCTCCCTTGACCACTGCTACCCACAGTGGGTCTTCACTTTGAAGTCTTCACCACTTTAAGCAACAGCAAAATAAAAAGAGATTTGAGATTTTTATACTCCTAAATGTGTCATGGAGGTTTGTGGTCAGCTTGGAGGACTTTAAAAAGCTGTCTGACTGGCCCATGATTCAAATACATGAGCCAATGTCTTCCGTGTCTCCTGTGTCGCTCTTCCGGCTTCGGGGGCTATGACTGTATTTCGATGCTGGTTTTTGTTCCCTCAGAGTAACCTGCTCCAAGCGCAACAGGGAATCACTCTGAAAACGACTTCGGCATTTTGTAAAAGATAAATGTCCCTCATAGGCTGTGATACTGAGTTTCTTCTTCCCACCATGTTCTTTCAAAGGCTGAATTTATTCTTCAAATCAGCTTCCAGCTGCTTTATGTGTACAGATTATGGTGCAAATCCCCTCTGGTGAGGTCCACTTGGATCACTGATTGGATTGGGAAGTTCCGTGAAGCTCACGAGGACGTCAGAAAAGACAATGACGAGGAACAGTTTATAAACAACACGTAATGCCTCTCTGCAGACTCTCCCTGTCCCTTTTTGTTTTTGAAATTTGGAAATCGCTTGTGTCTAGGGCAGGATTTGCTGTAATTTGTAAATCAAATTATTGGTAATTCGCCCCCGTTGAAATTGGCAGAGGGACTGTCGTGCTTGCAGAATGTAATAGATATTTATAATTCACACGCCATCCAATTGCAAAAAGCGTTTGACGGGCTATTCCAGTGAGCTAAGCATCTACGAAGTAAAGATTTTAAGACCTGCCTGTGATAACAGTCCTATTCAGGTCTCAGGTCCCACGTCCTCCCCCCGGAATGCTGACTTTTACCTTTCTAATAAGCAGTCTCCGCTTATTTATGCGTAGCCCTGGGGTCCGTTTTCTCTTCCCTTTCAATTAGCAATAATCGCGCCTCGGATAAACCTCATTGGCTACGATACTGCTACTGCGCAAAGCTTCTCTCTTCCCTTTTAAATAATCCCTTTCTTTGGTGTATTTGGAAAAAGGGACGCTGTGTCAGATGTTCTTCCCGTGTAACCCGGCGGTGGTCAGGGACACGCATTGGCACCGCACTCTCTGGTCCCCGTGGGCTCCTCTTCCCCTTGCTGCGCTCGGGGCCAGTACCAGCTCGGGGCAAGTGAGGCAGCCAGGGACCACGGTTTGAGGAGGCATTTTCTCTAGGGGTTGTGTGGGCTCAGGGTCCATCTGCACTGGTCCTGGCCCTACCCGCCGGCCACAGCCTAGAATTTATAGACTCCAGTCCTTCGTCGGGGAGGATGCAGGTGGGGTCTGACCCGCAGCACCTCGGCAGCAGGATACCCTAGTGCTGAAGGGCCTGCATTCTGGGGGTGGACATACTACCTCATCTCTTTGGGCACCTCAGTGTCCTCATTTGTAAAATGGGTTGATGATGCTAAAAATACAGCCTCCCTTTGCTTGTCTAGAGCGTGAAGACAGGTAATCCCTCCCCCCCCCTCCCCCGCCCCGTAAATGCCCAGGAAAGCACACCTCTTCCTCGCACTGCTCTTCCGGTTCCCAGTCCCAGCCACTTCCCGCCTTAAACTTCCTAAGAAGGTTGGAGGAAATCCAACAGCATTTTTTTTTTTTTAAATTTTTAACAGCATTTTAAAAGAAAGATTTAAATTGTCAAACGAAGCATGGTTTCCTTGAGACCCCAGGGAAGAGGTCCGAGCAGTGAAAGGCTACGGGGAAGTGCTGCCTCTCCTGACCTGCCTCCCTCCCCGAGGGCTTCCGTCCTCTCCTGAGGCACCTCCAGTTTCACTTCTTTCTTTTCTGGATCTTCACCACCTATTTTGCAGCAATCTCATTCTGTCCTCACAGAACTCTCACCCTGCAAATACATCCTGTTTTCCCGGTGACTGCTTCCCCAGGCTGAATTGTTCAGGCTGGAGTAGCAGAAGACAGCCCAGGGTCAGTCCAGGGTGGACACTGGTAGCTCAAGTGCAGTCTCCCGCAAAGTCTTCTGGGTAAGAGACATCTTTTGGTTGTGCTCCCCATCTGTCTCTGCTCCTCTCCCACCGACACTACCTTGATTTTCTATGGAGGGAGTGGCCTTTGACCCCCATGATCTCCCCCCCGACCGGATATGTATGAGGAGGAACAAGAAGGCAGAGCCTGCCTAAGGATGTTGTCAACAGCAGAAAGCAAGGGACAAGGAGGGAGGTCGAAGGGGGGAAAGAGCGAGACAGACAGAGAGACAGAGAGGCAGAAGGAGACAGAGAGAGAAAGGGAGGGAGGAACATTGGGTTCTACATCAAGCCGAGTCTGAATTTCTTTGGACTATTCAGTTATGTGAGACAACAGATTGTTTTTATTGTTTAAGGCCATTAGAGTTGTGTTTTCCATTACTTACAACATAGTGACCTAATTGCTTTGGAGTCTTTGTTTTGTAAGAGTCCGGCAGAGTGTGTAAGGGTCAAAATCAACCACTCTCTCTTTCTGCCGCAATCTCTCTAACCCCCTTCACCAAATACACACACTCCTTAGGGAAAATATTAATTCGTAGATGGTATAAAGTCATTGCCATTCATAAGAAGGAAGAAAAACATTTTTCGCATGTATGGTAGTCCGCAGGCCATTCTTGCCCAGAGAAATGTTAGTCTCTGTACATTATTGTGCACACTGCTTTAGTACATGTCTCTCATCTGCACCTCGAATCTCAATTTGTGCACTTGAGACTCACCTGGAGCAAGAAATGAAGCCATTTACTGAGCTACACACTTCTTCCTGGCTGCTTCTTAAGCTCCATGGAAACTAAGTTAAACCTTTGAAATTATAACTTGTAATGGCCTGATTAGTTTTCCCACAAGGCCATTCTCTTCCCTAGCTGAGGAGGCTGGATGGAAGGTGTGTTCTTTTGGTTTTTATTTTTTAATACTTCTCCTTATACACTTATTCCAGAGGACAAGTTGAGATAGGAGTTTCATCACATTGCCTAAAAAATTGTGTGGTCTTTTGATCATATCTCTTTTCATCTACTAACCCACGTTAACCAAAATTCTCTGAATACTTTTAATACTCAGGGCAATGAAAGATATTAATAATTTTCCCTTGACATAGACTCTGAATTTTTGCCCTTGTACAGTCTCCATATTCTGAATTGCTTGCCCTTCAGAATAAGAATGTAGTTCAAGGGCAACTTTCATTTCTCTGTAGAGCCTTGGGAACAAATTAGACATTTGAGATAAAAACAATCCTCAAAATGTCATATTTTTAACCTATTTTACATTCATAATTTGGAGGGCCTGAGAAGGATGTGCCTATCTCACTTCAAAGGAAAGGTTGTACTTTAGGAAAGGCTTTTGTCTAAATGTTGGGGGAAGTGTTATAAAAAGAGAATACAGTTATAGCAAACCAATTTGCCATGTTGTTAGCTAGTATCTGTAAGTTGAGTGATGATGTCACATATTGTGCAAACCAAGCCCCTTCTGAGGATGGAATTTGGGAACTATTTATTAATAAGGACATCAAGACTTCTACTACTAGCCAAGCTGGAGCAACCAGGATGGATTTACCCTCCCACCTGAAACAGCAGACAACCAAACAAAATATACGAAACAACAGTTTTTAAGACATTGGACATCAGACAATGAAGAACAGGGATCCCTGAGATGTAGGAAATGAATGATGTGAGCTCTGTGATTGTCCCGTATTACTTTCTGGTGAGAGTTTCTGGTCTGTAACACAAGGAGGGGGGACCCAGGTGCAGCCAGGTGGTCTCCCTGAGTTGAGGAGACATTGCTGGGAGTATAACACTATACTGCTGCAGTTCATGGTGCAGAGTACTAAAGAAGAAATAACTACAGAGAGAAAGGAAGAAAGAGAGAGGGAGGGAGAGAGACTGTGCTATGGAGATCTGCAGAGGGTCCCCCTTAAGTACCCAGCTGACTACTGATCAATGCACAGAGTTGAGGAACAACCCAAGGTCACGGAAACAACTACATGAGTGGATTGAATGGAATTTCTGGACCTCACACACAAGGCAAGGAGTAGTTCTTGTTCTTATCAGCCAGAGTGGAAAACCTCACAATTCCTGGTGTGTCAGGTAGAGTACTCAGAAGTTTTTTTTGTTTTTGTTTTTTTTTAATCTCAGTAGTGGGGCATTAACATTATGCTTTCTGGCCCCACTGGAGAAAGCTTAAAGTGAAACCCAAGATGTTCAAACTATTTCCAAGTCCTTTAATTCTGTTTCAAAGCAAAGTTCAAGAATTTTTATAGAAATACAAAATATCCAACACCCCAAAAGATTAAATTCACAATGTTGAGCATCTAATTAAAACTTGCCAACATACAAAGAAGAAGGAAAATACCACCCAGGAAGAGGAGAAAAATCTATTTATTGGAACCACCCTAGGACTGATATGGAACTGGCAGACGAGGACAATACAGTGGTTGTTATTACTGGGTCCCACATGTTCAAGAAGCTCAGAGGAAAGATTTCATATGGTAAGTAAAAGCATAAAGAAGGTTCAAACTGAGCTTCTAGAGATGAAAACTACAATATCTGAAAAGACAAACATACCAGGTGGGATTAACAGGATGTTAGAGAATTGCAGAAGAAAAGATTAGTGACTTGACAATGTAGATAGAAACTATTCAAAATTATACACAGAGAGAAAGAAGGTTGAAAGGAAAGTGAACAGAGTGTCACTGAGCTGTTAAAAACTCCAAATGGCAATCAGAGAAAGATAAGTATCATATGATCTCACTGATATGAGGATTTTGAGAAATAAGACAGAGGATCATAGGGGAAGGGAGGGAAAAATGAAACAAGATAAAACCAGAGAGGGAGACAAACCCTAAGAGACTCTTAATCTCAGGAAACAAACTGAGGGTTGCTGGAGTGGAGGAGGGTGGGAGGGATGAGGTGGCTGGGTGACGGACATTGGGGAGGGTATGTGTCGTGGTGAGCGCTGTGAATTGTGTAAGACTGATGAATCACAGACCTGTACCTCTGAAACAAATAATACATTATATGTTAATAAAAAATTAAAAAAAAAAACTCCAAGTGGCCTAATATCCCACTAGATAATTGGAGTCTTCAAAGGAGGGGGCGGAAAAATGATTTAAAAATAATCCCCCAATTCAATGAAAACTATAACCTGCAAACACAAGAAACTCAACAGAACCCATGCATAAGAAATATTAAGAAAATCCCACTGAGCTACACCATGATGGTTGGCTTATAATAGTGATAAAGGGAAATCTTAAAAGTAGCCAAGATAAAAGACACATGAAGCACAAAAGAACAAAGATAAGAACGACAGTAAAAGGAAAAAACAAGCTCTCAGCCTGCTTTTCAAATTCCCCAACAATTCTGAAAAATGAAGGAGGCATACAAGAGTTGAGGGAATTCACATCAGCACACCTGTGCCACGAGAAATGTTAAAGGAAGTCCTTTAGTCAGAAGAAAAGGATATCAGATGGAAATCTGGATCAATCAAAGGAATGAAGAGTACAGAAATGGTAACCACATGGATAAATATAAAATACTTTTTTTTTTTTTTAAAGATTTTATTTATTTATTT